TAGGAATACGTAAAGAATATTTAATAAAGCTGAATACATTTTATGAGTCGATATAATTGATATTCCTTGTTCTGTCCATGTAGAAAAATCCCTTTGGCGTAACGTATAAAAATAGTTAAAATTACGTAAAAAAATGTAATAAACCGGAATACATTTTTATGAGTTAGTCCTTGCCTTATCCTTGCGTGAAAAAATCCGTATTTATATATTTTTTTATTTGCGATTTGCTGTTTATATACATATGTGTTTAATTTCTAGTTATGTTATAATTATTACCTATTACATTGTATTACCTATTACATTGTATGACAATTTAATCCACATTATCAATTAAAATAAATGTAACAATTTCTTCGATATCAAACGCTATATACGTACGATTATTACGGCAGAAACGTGTAAAAGTTACAGTTAGGGTTCGTAAAAAAAAATTTACACGGAAATACATTTTTACGAGTCGAGACTGTTAGTTTCGTCTCGTAGATAGTTCTCGTCTTATCGTAGTGTAGAAAAGTCTATGATTCCCTTTGCGTGTAGATAAAAGCTTATCAACTTTTGTAGACATACTTTTCAAATAATAAGCACTTGTGATTTACTATCATTCGTTAATTGTCATAGATTAATATCATGCATTGTAATTTTCGATAGTGTTTCTTACTTGAAATTATACTATCTATATAAGTTTTTTTTGTCGGAATTCTCCATATGCAGACATCGTATTTTTCTTGCCTTTTAAAAAACTATTGGGGAGTACCTGAAGTATTGTTAAATAATTGCAGTTCTAAACGATAACAACTTTTCGACATTAGGCACGTGAACTTACGTTAGCTTATTAAAAGATAAGAAAGACTTGTCATGCATTTAACATTATCTCTTGCTCGAAATATTGTTCAAGGTGCATAAGCTACTTTGATAACGTTTGAAAAAATTTATTATTTGCATTAAAAAAATATTGTTTTTATCACGATTTTAAAAATTGATTCAAAGTTGACGGTTTTTACTTAAATCCAGTGATGTTTTTGGATTTACAGATGCATGAGGGGCATTTTCGTTCGTGTCAGACAGTTGAAATTTAATTTCTCTTCGAGAAATCCATTGAAATGGAGAAGAGAAAACGCAAATTCTATCAAAGTTTTATCCCAAAGTTTTGGTAACAACAGTGAAAAACGCATAATTAAGGAGCAGTCTGTAGCGGCGGGGGTCTCCTCGTGCATCGCGATAACTCGTTTCAAACTTATTGGAGGATGATGGCCAGGTTTTAAGAGGAGGGTTGGCCTCGAGAATAAGAATCACACAAACCGTGGCGCGACAAGTCGCACATACAAACAAATTACCACAGAGCGATGTCGCAGACCCAGCTGGACGAAACAGCAGTGGAAAATTTCCGCGAGTATCTGCGGATACCGTCGGTGCAGCCGGACGTCAACTACGGTGAGTGATCGCGCAAGGATGGCGATCGAGATTTTAAATTTATTTATTATTTAGAATTAATTCGGATTAATGAATTAAATACGGCGATAAGAACAATCGAATCGAATCGAATCGAGGCGGAGAGAAAAAGTTCTACAATCCCTGCGACGCGCGCTAAATAAAAGCGCCCGGTGGCGAAAACGGATTTGTAAATTCGTAACGTTTAATCAAGAGATGAAAAATTAAGAAGAACGCGAGTAAACGCGAGAAAGGATGTGATTGTGTCTTTTGTAAAAAAAAGGTGGAAAAATAAGGAATTTACGCCGACTGGCCATGTCGCTGTGAACGGAATCACGAAGCACGATGCGCTCATTCATCTATCGAGAAATCGATACATTTCCTCGATAGAGAGACATAATTTAAAATTGGTAAAAAATATAACCATAATAATTGCTAACATTTGCCACGGGTATATGCAATTTACTGGTCTTCAAAATTAATTTTCATACATTATGTAACACTGTCGTATCATCTTATTTTTGGCACGGATAAAGATTAAATCTAAACAACACATTAAGTTTTTTATTTGCTTAATAATCCAGGGAAATAATCGATCTATACATGTCGATTGGATATCTATATAAACATCGAATCGACTTTTATACTGATACTGACGTTTCAACTTATGCTGAACTCGTCGCGTGCAGTAAGGATGCTGTACGTGCTACGGATTTGTCTGATGTTCAAATAAGTTGGCATATGCTGGACAAACACTCAGGATATGCCATTTCAATGAAAGGAAACGCAGTAAGCGGCAATGTTACTTGCTTGCAAATTTAAAAGAAACGCTCAATCCCACATTGCATACGATCGCGGTGCATTTTGGACGACCTCGAGGATGACGTCTTTACGGCGAAAGCTATACCAGTTTTGAAAGAAATACGATCAAAAATGTACATAAAAAAGATGAAGACAAAGAGGAACTTAATATTAATGATATTCAGTTTTCAAAGTTGGGAAATAACGCGTTACTAGTGTTACTACCGCCATCATCGTTACAGTTACATATTTTTTGATAACGTACTGGTGTAAACATTACTTTTAACAACTTTCCCAACTCTGATTATACATATTATTATATATTACATTTATATATAATATTATTAATATATAAATGTATTATATTTAATATATTACATGTAATGTATTATTTATATATTATTTTATACGTGATCGAATCGATACCTATAGGTATCAAATTGTTCGTTCACAAATCGTTTATTTCTCTCTGAGAACGCATTGAGTCTTTCATTTATAATTAGACGGAATTAGAGTTTAAATTAAACAGAATTAGTACGTCGATTAGCCTGCAAACTTTGGACATAATAATAAATATATTTATATTTATTTTACAATTAGTACAAAATTATTTCTTTAATACTGGTGATTCTGGGTTAGGTAAAAAGTGTATATACCTAAGCAGAAAACAGCAGGTCACTATATCGTCAAAATGACATTAAAATAATTCATAACTGATCGAAAAGTGATTTTTAATAATCATTCTGACATCATTTTATGTCATTTTGATGTTATAATGACTTGTTCTGCTTGAATATGCGTATAAAATCATTCGTATAATCATGCGTATAATACATTGTTCTGATTCCTGCTTTTAATTTCAGATGAGTGCGTGGCATTCTTAACTAGACAAGCACAATCTCTCGATTTGCCGATCAAAATCTATCATATACATCCTAAGAAACCGATTGTAATTTTGACATGGATCGGAATGCAACCAACAAAACCGTCCATTCTCTTAAACAGTCACATGGACGTAGTG